CGGAGTAGAATAGATTAGATGAGAATTCTTTATTGGCCAAGTGTGATTGGACACACAAGGAATTTGTCCTGGTGCAAATGCTCTCAGTATAACATAAAAAAAAATTCAAGAATCATAAGGTACAGCACTTATAGGGTACAATAAGCGTGTAGTAGTAAAAGGAAACCAGACCAGGAAATGGGTGGCTGTGAGTTCTAGTTCCACCTAAGGCATGAAGCAACTGCGATGCTTTCAGCCGGTCCCTCTCTCTTGGAAAAGGTGTTGGAAACTCTATGGGTGATTTTGGGCAGGTGCAGTAAGTTAAAATACTCTTTATGGTGAGGCGGTAGAAGGTCACCGTTGTTTCCTGAGCAATCTCAGATAGTATAATCTCTGCTGGGCCTTTTGACCAGTGCTGCCATGTGAGTGCCCCTGGTCAGGTCCTCTTTTATCATAAGCACGAGTGAAAAAGAGGGCTGTGAAAATATTTACAGACCCCTCAAATCCCGGACATAAACTGTTTCAATTCCTTCCCTCAGAATGACGCTAGAGAGCACTGCACACCAGAACAACTAAACACAAGAACAGGTTTTTTTTTCTGAACTCTGCTAAACAACTAATTCCTTCGATGCTGTCCCTCAACACTGTCCAACTTTTTACTATTAATCTTCTCATCACTCCTTATCACCCATCCCCTTCCACTTGTGACTATATGACTGTAACCTTGTTGCTTGTATCTTTACAGTTTATATTGACTGTTTCCTAGTATGATTTGATTGCTTATTGTACCCTATAAGTGCTGCACCTTATGATTCTTGATTTTTTTTTTTATGTTATACTGAGAGTATTTGCACCAGGACAAATTCCTTGTGTGTCCAATCGCACTTGGTCAAAAAAGAATTCTATTCTATTCTATAACACCCAGAAACTTAATATTGGCAACTTGCTCTACTCGGTCTCCATTGGTAAGCAAGAGCTAGATGTCTAAACTATTCCTTCTATAATCCACTATAAGTTCCTTGGTCTTACTGATGTTAAGGACCATGTGATTGATTCCAGCTTCCCACATTCACTCTTTCCTTCTTGAAAGCTGGCTGTGGAGGTCACAAGTGGTAATTACATCACCGTAGGCATTTGTGTATGTATCGGGTAAATACAGCTAGTTGTCTTGATTGTTTACCTCTGAAGGCACTTTGCCTGGTTGTATTCATATTGATTGAGGATGTTTCTCTCCTGCTGCCTTGGCTGTCCTTCAATACGCAGAATCAAAACTCCATTGTTTTTTTATCTTCCTTTTCAAATCCAATTTCAGCAACTTCAAGGCTGAACAAACTTAGTTCTCCAGGATGTACGTACCTGTGGTTTTTCAGGAACTCCCTTATCATCTTCAAAAAGGGGAATATACAAGGATCCTGGAATATAAATAGCACCTGTTTTCAGGTGGATTGTAAAACTTTTCCTTGAAGAAGTTTCTTTTCTTTCCACAGAAAAGTTTTATGGGGCATTCTCCTGCTGTAGCATATCTTTATGTCCTGTTTGCAGAAAAGCACGTCCAGAGTTATGACTTGAGGGCCAGGGAGAGCTGATTTCTCTTGAAACAGGCGGCTTCTTGTAAAAAGCACCTGGCTCAGGTGTCAAGGGAGTTTATATGGGTGAATGTCATGGCAATAAGAAAACACAATTGTACATTTGGACTATTGGCACAGCCTTACTCACTCACCTCACCCGTGTTTGAGATGGCAAAATTTAACTCCTTCCATACAGCAAGGAGGAAAAGACAGTACAGATAGGCCTTGACTGACAAGACTTTGCTTAGTGGCCATTCAAAGTTACAGCAGCACTGAAAAAAAGTGACTGAAGACCATTTTTCACACTTATGACCGTTGCGGTATCCCCACGTTCAAGTGACTTACATTCGGGTGCTTGACAACTGGTCCATATTTGTGACGGTCCCAGTGTCCCGGGGTCAGGTGATCTCCTTCTGCGACCTTCTGACAAGCAAAGTGGTGTAGGGTTTCCTGCCTAGGCAGGGGGTTGGACTAGAAGACCTCCAAGGTACCTTCCAACTATTCTATTCTATTCTATTCTATTCTATTCTATTCTATTCCTATGCTATGCTATGCTATGCTATTCTAAAGTTGAAAACATGCATTAAATGAATGAGAGAGGTGGATCAAAGAAGCCGCTACAACATGCTTTAGAACCATGATGGCGAACCTCTGGCACGCGTGCCAGGGGTGGCACACAGAGCCCACTCTGTGGGCATGCACACTATTGCCAGCTGCTTTTCTGGTTTCTGGCATGCCAGCCAGGTGGTCTTTGCAGGTGCCAGAACGCTGGAAAATGGCCCACAAAACAGGCCATTTGGGGCCCTTTTCAGGCCACGTTTTGGGCGTTTTTCAGGCCATTTTCTGGGCCTTTTTCAGGCTGGTTTTTCAGGCCATTTTTTGTGCCATTTTCAGGCCATTTTTTCAGGCCAAACAACTCAAAAAACACCCTGAAAAATGACCCCAAACAGCCCCCAAACACCCTGGAAAATGGCCTGAAAATGGCCCCAAAAGGGCTTGAAAATGGCCCCCAAATGGCCTGAAAACGGCCAAAAAACAGGCATGCATGCAGTGCTCCAGCACCCGCACATTCACATGTATTCTGGTTTGGGCAGTTGGTGTTGAAAAGGTACGCCATCACTGCTTTAGACCTTGTAAGAGAAAAATTGGGTCACTTTATGGCAGCCAAGAATCAGATTACAGATTAACAGAGTTGAAAGGGATCTTGTAGGTCATCTAGTCCAACCCCCCCGCCCCCGCCCCCGCCCAGGCAGACCCTACATCACTTCTGGCAGATGGCAGTCCATTCTCTCCGTGAAAGCCTCCAGCGATGAAGCTCCCACAACTTCAGGAGTTGGTAGAAGGGTAGAAGGCAGCACTTTTTTTTTAAGGCAGAAGTTTTCATGTGCTTCAGTTTACCTCAGCAGCTACGTAAAATCTAGCTGCGCGCACCTGGTAAAATGAACGGCACCTCACAAAAGCTTTTGCCTTCAAATAAATTTGATTAGTTAGGATAAATGCCCCCGGACTCCTGATTTTCAGCCCTAAAATGGGGTCGCTGCTTTTTGAGTTAGGCTGTTGGCATCAAATATGGATATATTTGGACGCAATCTTTAGGGATAAAGGCTACATTTATGTTGCCCGGAAAGTGTGGGGAGCTGCACGTATAAGCAGTCCTCAACATATAGGCGTTCCTTTACGTGACCGTTTGAAATTACAACGGCCCTGGAGAAAAGTGACTTAACAACTGGCGCCTGGCTCAAAACCGCGCCAGGAGAATTACGGGAAATTAAATGCCTATTTAGGTAATTTTGGCTATTTCCAGCTGGGGCACCAGGCCAGGTACTCGGTTTGTTTGTCTTTTTTTTTTTTTAAAAAAAAAGAGAGGAACGCTTCAAGACTTGTGAATGGTCCCATAGCGATCATGAGGTCCCAACAGCTGCTGCAAAAGCCCGACGTTGTCCCTGATCCAAAAAAACAAATGGGAACCAAACACGGATCTTTCAGCAAGACAAGGTGTGACTCCCGAGGCAGCGATTCCCTTATTAATAATCTTTTATTTAAACTGTGTGAACAGTGACTTTCTTCTGTTAACCTTGAGCTTATTGCCGTGGCGTTGTTTTTTTTCTTTTCTGGAGTTCCAAGCAGCTTCCGTGGCTGGCAGCCAGGTATTGGCCTGAGTTCGGTGAACTCATCTACTGGCAAGATATCCAGAGTGCAAGGATGTCGTTGTGGGGCTAATAATCCCAGCAGGAACGCATGCCGCTGGGTTCGGTGGGATGGCTTCCCTTTGCAGAGGGCTGCATCTGTGCATCTAGTTGTGGTTTTGACAAGTGCATTTTCAAGGTCCACTTTAAATACTGGCATGTACTAACAAAATCACAGTAATCACCTTCTCTCTTCTTCCTTCTTCTCTCCTCCTCCTCCTCCTTTTCTCCCTCTCTTTTTCCTCCTCAAATATAATCCCCTTAGAAATTTCAATTTCTTCTTCTTCTTCCTCCTCCTCCCAATTTCTCCAGAACTCTACCATGGAAAGGGCCTACAAATCTCAAGAGAATAGTAAACAGTGCTAACAGTCATTGGCAAACAGTCGGCTTATATAAATCTTCCTTCCTGCAGAATTTTCAGGGATTCATGCAAAGCACTTATTTTTTTATTTTTTAAATTCACAATATTGTTTGAATTTATTGTCTTTTTTCAAGTCATTGCAAGTTTTGAAGGTCTTCTGATTGTTTTTGCTTCGCGTGCCACTGCTTGTGCCACCTGGGGGGGAAAATATGGTTGTCCCTTCAGCAAAAGATGCTTCGTACACATTCGTACAGTCTCTACGGGCCTGTCAGCCTTCAAGATCTTCTACTATTGCTTTGCATCTTTTGGCTGCCATAAGTAACGGGGGGAGGTGGGGGTAAAGTCTGGGAAGCAAGCTGTTACATTCTAGTGTTGTGTAAAATGAGGAGGGGGGAGTATAAATTCTCACTTAGCTTTCTTTTCTCTGCGCAACTGTAAACTTTTATCAAAATATGCCGAGGTCAACGGACAGAGGCCTCATCATCACCTGAAGATGTCCCCATGATCATATTCACAACTTTTAATTGGAAAAATCATTTGAACTGTTGGGGGTGGGAACATTTCCATCACTTTGTATATGTGATTTGCGCGCCAAATTTCCCAGATTCAGAATGCTATGGTTGCTACCACTTCAATTTCAGTAAAAGGTATCTTTTCTCTAATCTAAAGAGTCTAAGTATTTCTTTCTTGAATTTTGAATGGAGCTCCACCTGACAGGGCCTTATTTAATGGCGGTCACAGCCCCCTGTTTGAATGGAATGGAAGTCAAAATAGCCATGGGGAGATGTGAAGGAAGGAGAGGCTCTTCTCTAACCAAAGGGAGGTCTCTCAAAGCTTTGTTGGTCTCAGTCCCGTGGGCTTGAGGAGTTTCCTTCACCTGTCTCTTCTCTCTTGCTCTCCTTTCAGTGGTTTGCTTACTCCTTCATGACCAAGTGCCTCATCACCCTCTCTACGGTGGGATTAATGATCCTGATCTTGGCCTTTCACATCAAAGAGCTCCAGGTAATTATAATTTTAATTGAATTTTGTTGAGGGCGGCTTCCCGTTGCAGCTTTTGAGCCTCACACCTAAATGCTTGGAATCCAGTGTGAGAGCCATTGACCCGGGGCAGCTTCTAAGTGTTTCTATGAAGCAGTACGAGAACTAACTAAACTAAGGAGCAGAGAACTGTTGAGGCTCACCCAGCAAGGTTATCCATCTCAACATCTACCTTAGTTAGACGGGCTCATCCCTTTTATGGGTTTGACTATCATCCGTTGCCTTTTATGAACCTAGAAAGCCTATGCCTGCTGTGGAGACGTGCAGTATAACACATAACAGATAATCAGAGTTGGAAGGGACCTTATAGGTCATCTAGTCCAACCCCCTGCCCAAGCGGGAGACCCTACACCATTTCTGACAGATGGCAGTCCAATCTCTTCTTGAAAGTCTCAAGTGATGACGCTCCCACAACTTCTGAGGGCAACTTCTGTTCCATGGGTTGATTGTTCTCACTGTCAGAAAGTTTCTCCTTATTTCCACATTAAATCTCTCCTTGTTCAGTTTCCATCCATTATTCCTTGTCTGGCCGACAGGTACTTTAGAGAATAGCTTGACCTCTAACAAGGGATTGTTATCAACCAGGTTGGTTTCAAGGAGAACAAACCAGACGGGTTAGGGGCGACATGATAGCAGTCTTCCAATATTGGAGGGGGTGTCACCAAGAAGTGGGGTGGTAAATATATTCTCCATAGCCTTTGAAGGCAGGACAAGAAGTAACGAATGGAAACTTATCAAGGAGTGATCCAACCTAGAATTAAGGAGAAATTTCTCATCAGTGAGGACAGTTAATCAGTGGGATCACTTGCTTCCAGAAATTGTGGGCGGGCCATCAAGAACAAATCTGGACGACCATTTCTCCAGAATGGTGTAAGGCAGGGCTCCCCAAGCTTGGCAACTTTAAGACTTGTGGACTTCAAGTCCCAGAATTCTCCAGCCAGCATAACTTCTTCTCCAGCATAGCTAGCTGGAGAATTCTGGGACTTGAAGTCCACAAGTCTTAAAGTTGCCAAGTTTGGAGACCTCTAGTCTAAATCATTATTTTTCAACCTTGGCCACTTTAAGGTGGGTGGACTTCAGCTCCCAGAATTCCAAAGCCACCATTTTACACCTGGATGCAAATCTCATCAACCTCCCAAAATTTTGTTTTGGGATTTTATTTATATCCCAGATGCTAAGAAGCAAAATTAGGAATACAGGTAGTCCTCGACTTATGACCACAATTGAGCCCCAAAATTTTCGGTTGCTAAGCGAGACATTTGTTAAGTGAGCTTTGACCCATTTAACCACCTTTCTTGCCACTGTTGTTAAGTGGATCACTGCAGTTGCTAAGTTAGTCACAAGGATGTTAAGCGAACCTGGCTTCCCTGTTGACTTTGCTTGCTAGAAGGTTTCAAAAGGGGATGACATGATTTTAGGATGCTGCAACGGTCATAAATATGAACCAAATACGAATTCAATCCATCCATGGGGATGCTGCAATGGTTATAAGTGCAAAAACATGGTCGTAACTCACTTATTTCAGTGCCGTTGTCACTTTGAACAGTCACTGAACAATCTGTTGTATTTCAAGGTTAGATGGAGGGCAGCGCAGGGCAATTATCCCATAAATATGGGAGCTCCCTCAGAATGAGACCTGAAAAAGAACAAACTTTGATTTGGGGAAGGGCAGGTTTACTTAGCTTATATCTGCCAGGATCAACAATCTTCCTTTTAATTCTGTCATAACAAAAAGATTGTTATGGCGAAACTTTGACATACTTTGTAGATACCATTCCTTTAAGAAGAAAATGAAATAACCCTGGAAAATATTTATCTGAACTGCAAGAAGGTAGAAGTAATAGGTCTTTCACATGTGCTGGGTGGAACAAGATTAATAGAGTTGGAAGGGACCTTGTAGGTCATCCAGTCCAACCCCCTGTCCAAGCAGGAGACCCTACACCATTTCTGACAGAAGGCAGTCCAGTCTCTTTTTGAAAGCCTCCAGTGATGAAGGTCCCACAACTTCCGAAGGCAATTTCTTATTAAAAGGGAGGAATAAATAGAATAATTTGCCCCCATCCCCCCAAAATGAGATTTTATACATTTATAAACTCCCCCCCCCACATATAAATAGATAAGCAGCATTATCAATTTTGGACACCTAACATCAAACACATCATCAAAAAAGCACAACAAAGAATGTTCTTTCTGCACCGATTCAGGAAGCTCAAACTGCCCAAAGAGCTGCTGATTCAGTTCTACAGAGGAATTATTGAGTCTGTCATCTGCACCTCTTGAACTGTCTGGTTTGGTTCTGCAACCCAACAGGACAGACACAGACTTCAGAGAGTAATTAGGACTGCAGAAAAAACAATTACTATCAACCTGCCTTCCATGGAGAATCTGTATACTGCACGAGTCAAAAAGAGGGCTGTGAAAATATTTACAGACCCCTCACATCCTGAACATAAACTGTTTCAACTCCTACCCTCAAAACGATGCTATAGAGCACTGCACACAGAACAACTAGACACAAGGACAGTTTTTTCCTATTGTTTAATCATCACTCTGCTAAACAAATAATTCCCTCAACACTTTTCAACTATTTACAAAGTATACACTATTACTGTTAATCTTCTCACCACTCCTTATCACCCATCCTCTCCCACTTGATTGTTTCTTAGTATGATTTGATTGTTGATTGTACCCTATGATTATCATTAAGTGTTGTACGTTATGATTCTTGATTCTTAATGAATGTACTTTTTCTTTATGTATACTGAGAGTATTTACACCAAGACAAATTCCTTGTGTGTCCAATCACACTTGGCCAATAAAGTATTCTATTCTATTCTATTCCATTCCATTCCATTCCATTCCATTCCATTCCATTCCATTCCATTCCATTCCATTCTATTCTATTCTATTCTATGCAAAAAGCTGGTTTCAAATTAAGACTGGATTCCTCCTTAAATGGGTGGCCTACGAGCTGCCCTTCAGAAACTGGACACAGCTCCCTTTAAGATAAATTCAGCGCAACTAAAGAATAAGTTAAAACATTTAAAAAAAACTCCCAATAATCTAACTCTGTTCTGATGCTGAATCATTTCCCCTGTCTGTTCCATGTTAAAAAATTACAAGTTTGCGTTGCAAAATTTGCAAAGCCTGGGACAACTGAGATGACTAAGATAATTTACTGATCTTAGTTATTTCAAGTTCACAAAGATAATTTAGATGAGCTGGGCAATGTAGAAAGGTGATAAACAAACAAACAAACAAACAAACAATAGAAATAATCAGCCACAGTTTGAGGCGATGGACAGTGCGTGTGGCGCAAGAAATGTATTTATTCATTTGATTTCTACCGTTGCCCATCTCAGCAATTAAAATATAGATGGTGCATCCTCTATTTTGGGGACAGTGGTAGTTTCCCCCCTCAAAAAAAATTTGGGTACCATCAAACTCCTAAAACCTGGGCATCTTAAAACCCCTTTGGGGGCGTGCTCAGCATCAACCAAACACCCTTGTTAACAAATAATATGAAAGAACACTAGTGTTAACTCTGCACCTGTCATCCTGCCCTAGTTTTAGCAGTCAAAAGCAAAGAGAAAAAAAATGCATTTGCCAAATACAGGATTCTTCTGAATGGATTCATGTTTAAATAGTGCGCAGGGTTGGAAAATGCCAAACAGATCGGGCTGAAGTTGAGACTTGTTCCTCCAAGGCTGACTGGCCAGCCCAGATATTTAATCCTCCCCTTCCGTAGAGCTCAATATGTCTTGGGTTTGTGGCGGGCGAGCCAGCGACAGTCGGAAAATATACTTCAGAAGAATTTTTCTTTCTTTCCTGTGGACTGTTTGATCTCGGTTGCTGACTGGAGAGAACTATTTCCTGGCTGAGTCACGCCGGGTTCACCCAGCTACTGCCAAGCTGGGATGGGTGGCAGAGACTTTGGGCAACTGAGGATCAAAGTAGTATAGAATGGAATAACAGAATGGGAAGGGATCTTGGAGGTCTTCTAGTCCAGCCCCCTGCTTAGGCAGGAAACCCTTTCAGACAAAGAGTTATCCAATTTCTTCTTAAAAACTTCTGGTGTTGGAGCATTCACGACTTCTGGAGGCAGGTTGTTCCACTGATCAATTGTTCTCACTGTCACAAAATTTCTTCTTAGTTCTAAGGTTGCTTCTCTCCTTGATTAGTTTCCACCCATGGCTTCTTGTCCTGCCTTCAGGTGTTTTGAAGAATAGCTTGACTCCTTCTTCTTTGTGGCAGCCCCTGAGATATTGGTGATGTTCCTTTGATGGGCATTTCCTCAAAGTGCATTTTAGGCCCTTAAATCAGGGGGTATTTCATTTGCTGATATGTTTACCAGGGCTTCCCTGCTACTCAGAGGTGGTATTCAGCTGGTTCTGACCAGTTCTGGAGAACTGGTCGCAGAAATTTTGAGCAGTTCGGAGAACCGGCCAATACCACCTCTGACTGGCCCCACCAACCCCATCTATTCTCTGCCTCCCATTGAGTCCCAGCTGATCGGCTGGGTTTCTTTTGATTGCTCTGCACAGGAGAACCGAGCTGGAAAGCGGTTAGTGGGGTGGGGAGGGAATGGGGATTTTGCAGTATCCTTCCCTTGCCACACCCACCAAGCCACACCACACCCACCAAGCCATGCTCACAGAACCAATAGTCAAAATTTTTGAATCCCATCCCTGCTGTTACTCCAATTAACCACGTCTTGGAACAGCCCCCCACTTATAAAAGGGTTTAAAACCACACATCCGAATCACATAATAAAAGCAGAAAAGCAATTGCAATAAACACTGGGCTGCTGGAGGAGTATCGAACCCCAGTTGCTGACCAATGCAGCTGAAATTGGTCTGGTATAAATGTAAAACTAAGCCCGCATTCACAGGTTAGTCCTCAACAATAGTTCATTTAGTGAGCGTTCAAAGTTACAATGTCACTGGAAAAAAGTGACTTATGACTGTTTTTTCACACTGACAACCCTTGAAGCATCCCACTGGTCACGTGATCAAAATTCGGATGCTTGGCAAGTGATTCGTATTTATGACGGCTGCAGTGTTTCAGGGGTTATGTTTCTGAGACCTTCTGGCCAGGGAAGCCAGGTTCACTTAACAACCATGTTACTAACTTAAGAATTGCAGTGATTCACTTAACAAACGGGGCGAGAAAAGTCGTAAAATGGAACAAAACTCCCTTAACGAATGTTTCACTTAGCAACATAAAGTCTGGGGCTCAGTTGTGGTCGTAAGATGAGAACTATCTGTATTTGGCCAGATGGGCAATTTTGTGTTCCTCTCTTGGAAGTCATCAAGGAGGTGGAAATCAAGACTAAGCCTTCAGCGATCTGTAAACTGATTTTAATAATAACCAAAAAAGCTTTTGCACTTCCAGAAAGCAATCCATCAAGGATAATCTGTACTTCCTTCGTAAAAAACCACTTGGCATTCAGTTCCGTTCCTTATTTTTGTGATACCGCAATAGCAACTTTTGACAATAGAGGGTTTATTCTAATCCCGAGGAGGAAATTACTCAAATGTTAGCTGTCTTGAAGCACAGAAGCTCAATTCCAGATGTAGGGAGCTGTCAAAAGTTTGTGAATTCCTGCAGACCTCTCTGACACATACCTTGAAACAGGTTCGCATCCATTCTCAGCCACACGAGATCCCTGAGTGACTTTGGGCCAGGGCAGAGGTGGTATACAGCCGGTTCTGACCAGATCTGGAGAACCGGTAGAGGAAATTTTGAATAGTTTGGAGAACCGACAAATCCCACCTCTGACTGGCCCCGCCACCATTTGTTCTCTGCCTCCACTGAGTCCCAGCTGATCGACTGGGTCTTCTTTTGTTGCCCTGCACAGGAGAACGGAGCTGGAAAGCAGGTTAGTGGGGTGGGGAGAGAATGGGGATTTTGCAGTAACTTTCCCTTGCCATGCCCTCCAAGCCATGCCACGCCCATCAAGCCATGCTCACAAAACTGGTAGTAAATTTTTTTTGAATCCCAGCACTTGGCCAGGGAGTCAGTGAGGAGATGTGTTGAAGGCCCTGGATGAGGAGCAGGGAGACACAGGTTTTAGCTTCCTGGGGGATTCAGAGCCTTATGTGTTTCCCATCTTAAGAACCAACAAAGCAACACCTAGAGCAAACAAAGAGCACAGTCACCATGTGCTTTACTGCTCAACTATATCACTAACAGGAAACAGGAAAGTCTACTTAGAATGAAAGAGCATAGAGTATACACCATATACCCAAGCTTGTAAATGCTGCCATCTATTGGCTGAATACTACTGTAGTTGTTGCATAGAAATACATTCCAACAATAAATCCCAACAGTGGCACAATCTTGTAGAGAGAACCCCTGGCTTTGCTTCAGGCTCATTCATGCTCTCATGTTCCTTTTGCCTTGTAGCTCTTCATGCTGGATAACGCCCTGACCGATTGGCGAATTGCGGTCAGCACCCCGAAATTGGTTCTCATCGTGCTCGAGCTTTTAGTCTGCTCCCTTCACCCCTTCCCAGTGGGAGATTTCTTTTGCCTGGATCCCAAGCAGGGACAGACCATCGTCTTCCTCTCGGATGTTGACATGTTACTTTCACTGGTGATGTTCCTCCGCCTCTACCTAGTTCCTCGAGCTGTGCTACTGCGGAGTAGTGTGCTGGGAGATGCCTCCTACCGCAGCATCGGGTCCCTCAACAAGATCCACTTCCAGTACCCTTTCGTGTTACGGGTGATGGTGAACAGCCAGCCGGGCCGTGTGCTGCTCATCTTTACGGTGGGACTCTGGATCACTGCTTTTTGGATACTGTCCGTCTGTGAACGGTGAGGAGCCTGTTGTATGTTCATAACGAGATCCTCAGTACCGGGTTTGGGGGCTTTTTGGTTGTTGTTTAATATCCCGCCTTTCCCCAGACCTGGTAAGAGAGCCTTTCCTGTCTTAGCAGAGTTCCTTTCTTTCTTTGGGAGCACCCTAATGAGATTTCTCCCTCCCCCTCCCCTCCCTCCCTCCCTCCCTCTCCCTCCCTCCCTGTCTCTCTCCCTCCTTCCCCTTGTGTGTCTTCCTCCCTCCCTCTCTCTGTCTCCTTCCCTTCTCTCTTTGTCTCTCTCCCTCCTTCCCTCTCTTTGTCTCCCTCCCTCTCTTTCTCTCTCTCTCTCTCTGTGTCTCCCTCCCTCTCTTTGTGTCTCCCTCCCTCTGTGTTTTTCCCTCCCTCCCCCTTTCTCCCTCCCCTTCTCCCTTCTTTCTTCCCTCTTTCTTTGTGTCTCTCTCCCCGCTTTTCTCTGTGTCTCTTCCTCCCTCCCTCCCTTCTTTCCTCCCTCTCTCTTCCACTTTGAAAGGCCCCAGGTCTCTTGATGCCAAATTATCCTCGAGAGCCACTTTGCAAATTTTGCAGAATTGCATGGGCTCCAAAGTTTCCCAATCTGCTCTGGAGCATCTATTGGTCAAATCTTGGGGGATCCTCTGCACGCCAAGCACGGGCGCCTGTCCTCTTCTCCGAAGGAATCCTAACCACTTCTAAGTTGAAAAAGTCCTTTCTTTTTCTTCTTCTTTTCTTTCCTTTTTTTTAAAGGACAGCTCCCTTTGCTGTCCTATCAGCCAGCCAAACGTCAGCTCACCTGAGAAAGCCAGCAACTAAGTGAGCCTCTCCGCTGGGGGAAAAATAAACATTTTGTCACTTTGGGTGACACAGATTAAAAAAAGGAAAAGAATCCTTCTGATTTCAAAAGAGTTGAAAGGTGGCTCAACTCTACAATCAACAATCTATTCTTATTTATTAGTTGGCCTGCTTCTCGTAGAGCCTGACCGGAAAAACATGTGGTCAAACTGGCTTGGCTTAGAGTTCCTACTGGATTCCCACCATATTTCTGAAGGATTGAATATTTTCCCATGAACGAGACAATGTCTACATCCTGGAGCCTCTGACCAAGTTGTCTTGTTGTCTGCTTAGTATGTTTTTAGGTTGTTTGCCTGTGCCCACCAATCCCATTGCTAAATGATCCCCATAACCCCCCAGATCTCTTGAAGTTATCTTCACATGAAGATTGTGTGTCAGAATAGAGCTGGAAGGGACCTTGGAGGTCCTCTAGTCCAGCCCCCTGCTCAAACATGGGACCCTATACCATTTCAGACAACTGGCTGTCCAGTCTCTTCTTAAAAGCCTCCGGCGATGAAGCACCTACAACTTCTGAAGGCAAAGCCGCTCCATTGGTTCATTGTCCTCACTGTTAGAAAGTTTCTCCTTAATTCCAGGTTGCTTCTCTCCTGGATTAGTTTCCATCCATTGCTTTCTGTCTTGCTTTCTGATGCTTTGGAAAATAATTTGACCCTCTCTTTTTTGTGGCAGCCCCTCAAATACTGGAACATATGTATCATATCACCCCCATAGTCCTTCTTTTCTCTAGACTAGCCAAACCCACACCCTGCAACCATTCTTCATATGTTTTAGTCTCCAGGCCTTTAATCATCTTAGTTGCTCTTCTTTGCACAAAGGCTCAACATCTTTTTTGTAATGTGTTGACAAAAAATGGATGCAATATCCCAGGTGAGGGTCTTACTAAGATTTTCTAAAGCAGTACTAACACTTCACGGGATTTTGATTCTATGCCTCCCGTTTACACAACTAAGGTTTGTATTGGCTTTTTTGGCTGCTGCTGCACACTGCCGGCTCATATTTATGTAATCGTCCACTAGGATTCCAAGTTTCCTGTCCTGTGTTTGAGCCAGATTTTGCCCAATCTGTAGTTGTGCCTTTGGTTTTTCCCGCCTAAGTATAAAACCTTGCTTTCCTCCACATTAAATTTCATTTTGTTGATCTCAAGAGCTCAACCTGCTGTAAAGAGCAGTTAGCAGTCCCTCTCTCTCAGCTGGTAGTGGTATTCAATTTTTTTTTTACTACCAGTTCTGTGGGCCTGGCTTGGTGGGTGTGGCAGGGAAGGATACTGCAAAATCCCATTCCCTCCCCACCCCACTCACCTGCTTTCCAGCTCCATTCACCTGTACAGGGCAACGAAAGAAGAGCAAGCCAATCAGCTGGGACTCAGGAGGCAGAGAACAGATGGGGTTGACGGGGCCAGTCAGAGGTGGGTATTTGCCAGTTCTCTGAACTACTCAAAATGTCCACTACCGGTTCTCCAGAACTGGTCAGAACTGGCTGAATACCACCTCTGCTCTCAGCCCTAGGAAGCAGCAAAGCACCGGGAAAACTGCAGGCTCACAGTCAACACTACTCAAAGACACACAGATGCAACCCACAACTTTTTCTAAGGCACGTTATGACATCAGTGAAGGCTGTACAATACAGTGACCCTGAGTCCTTTATCATAAAGGATAATCTTTCAGAAAGCAGCCCTTTAGGTTAATTTAATTTTTTATTCATTTTGCTTTTGAGCTTTCCCCTGCCAAGCAACCCATAAACAATTCAACTGGTTTATCTTTATGAAGTTTGTTTTACCCAGATTTGCCCCTTTTTCAGGCTTGTGCGCCCCCACTCCCCCTCCCAGAAAATATGGCCGAAATAGGGTATATCAGTAGCTAATAAATACAGTTGCTTGCAGAGACTTTCTAGGTCAGAGGTATCCAAACTTAGCAACTTTAAGACTGGTAGACTTCAACTTCCAGAATTCTCTAGCCAGCATTCTGGAAGTTGAAGTCCACCAGTCTTAAAGTTGCCAAGTTTGGGGACCCCCTGTTCTAGGTGCACACAGATCCTTTACCCTGGACTATAACCAGAACCTTTATTTCTGGAAAGCAATGGAGGCTTTTGGTATGTGATCCGAACTAAGAAAACTGATCACTTGCTAACAAGGATAATGAAGAGGAACCCACCCCTGCTGAGAGAAGCCAGAGACCCCACCCTTAATGGAAAGCAACTGGAACACCAATATTATCCACTGTTAGGCTTGTTATTGTTATTAATAGCTGTTTGGTCATCAGACAAAGACTGTTTTATTGTCTTTAAAAATGTTGATTTGATTAAAAAAAGAGAAACAATCCACATGGGACTCAGCGGCTATGGTTTAGCTAACCTGAATTTACAGATGTATTTGGATTTATGTGTTTGAATCTTTTATTTTATTATTTTATTTTATATTTCTTATTTTTGTTTCATTCCATTATTATTCTATTCTATTTCTATTCTATTCTACAGATATTCTTAATTCTAATTCTATTCTACATAATTCTATTCTATTCTACATTATTCTATTCTCTACTCTACTCTACCGTCTTCTTAATTCTAATTCTATTCTACTCTACTCTACTCTACTCTACTCTACTCTACTCTACTCTACTCTACTCTACTCTACTCTACTCTATTCTACCATATTCTTAATTCTAATTCTTAATTCTAATGACTTATGATTGGTCCTTAAATTTATGGCCATTGTAGCATCTTCAGGGCCACATGATCAAAGCTTTTAGCATGTGTTTATGACAGTGGCGGTGTCCCAAAGTCACGTGATTGCCATTTGCAACTTTCCCAGTTGATTTCCGACACGCAAAGTCAAGGCGGGAGGGATGGCGAGAAAGCTGGATTTGCTTAACAACATGATTGATTTAACAACTGTAGCGATTTGCATAACAACCATGGCAAAAAAAAAAGGGGCGTGACTTACTTAACAACTGTCTTGCATAGCAATGAAAATTCTGGTCCCTGTTGTGTTCATAAATTAAGGACTGCCTCATTTAACAACTGCCTTGCTTAGAAACGCTAATTCTGATCCTAACGGGGGTCGTAGGTTGAGGATCAACTGCGCCTTCCCAGATAAATGAGCATGAACCTATTTTCTCTTATTTGATCTGCCAGGCAGCATATGGATGAGAACAACTATCTCGGTGGGGCATTCTGGTTGATTCCCATCACTTTTCTGACCATCGGCTATGGAGATGTGGTGCCCAAAACAGTGTGCGGGAAAGTCGTGTGCTTGTTCACTGGTGTTATGGTAAGGAACACGACAACGTCTTACAATGAGAAACATGAAGCAAGGTTGCAATGCTTATTTACACATACATATTTGTGTGTGCATGTATGTGTGTATATATTTGTGTGTGTGTGTGTGTGTGTGTGTGTGTGTGTATAGATAGTTATATAAATAAGATAGATATAGATATGTAGATATATATATGCCCTAGCTCTCTGGTGTGTGTGTGTGTGTGCGTATGTGTATAGCTACCTATCTAGATAGATAGATAGAGGTAGATAGATAGATAGATATTTCTTTTCTTAGATAGACAGATATACATATAGACATAGATAGATGATAGAAAGATAGATAGAAATGGATGGAAACTGAACAAGGAGAGATTCAACCTGGAAATAAGGAGAAACTTTCTGACAGTGAGAACAATCAACCCATGGAACAGCAGTTGCCCTCGGAAGTTGTGGGAGCGCCAACACTGGAGGCTTTCAAGAAGAGATTGGACTGCCATCTGTCAGAAATGGTGTAGGGTCTCCCGCTTGGGCGGGGGGTTGGACCAGATGACCTACAAGGTCATCTGGCCAACTCTGATTATCTGTTATCTGTTAGATGATAGATAGACAGATGATAGAGAGAAAGATGATAGATATAGGTAGATAGATAGATAGATAGATAGATAGATAGATAGATAGATAGATAGATGATACATAGATACATATAGATGATACATAGATACCGTAAATAGATAGATAGATGATACAT